ATGGATGCCAGATAAGATGTGTAACAAAAGCTGTGGGTAAAACAAAAACAACAAAAACAGACAGAACCACAAATGAAGCACTAAGATCCCCGTGTGGATTTCGGGGCCCTATTATAGGAGAAATAGGAATAGACTCACTGCCTACCCAAAAGCATGTTGTAAGAATCGACTAATGGGAAGCTTCTTTCGAAGTCGGAGTGCATCTGCCCGAGAGGCAAGGAACCATCAGTCTGCATACAAATGAGTCACATCTGTAAAACGGATGTACGCGCAACACTCAGGTTGTGGAACAGGACTGCAGTCCAAAAGTGGATGAACAACCAAAACTTTCTGCCAGAGTTTACAGCTGGTGAACGCAAAGAAGAAGAAGAAGAAGAAGAAGAAGAAGAAGAAGAAGAAGAAGAAGAAGAAGAAGAAGAAGAAGAAGAAGAAGAAGAAGAAGAAGAAGAAGAAGAAGAAGAAGAAGAAGAAGAAGAAGAAGAAGAAGAAGAAGAAGAAGAACAAAAATAACAAGCAGAACAAGAAAAAGAACAGAAAGAAAAAGAAGAAGAAACAAAGAAGGAGAACAAGAAAAAGTACATAACAATGTGAAAAAGAAAAAGAAGCAAACGAAGAAGTAGCAGATGAAAAACCAGTCGTTTTCATGTGGGATGCAATTTTTCGGTTTTTATTAATCTCCACCCCGGCTCTTGCCAGCGGCAGCAATATAGCCCGACCATAAATATAACCTAATGATTTAAGGCGGTTTCCGGGACCTCTCCACGGGTGATCCTCATCCAGATCGTGGCACTTTGTGTCATCGGGTATTTATCGCTTGTGTGATGTCCTAGTGGGGTAAAATGTACTACTACTACTACGATAATGCAAGAATAAGAATAACAAAAGACAAGAAAAAGAAAAAAAAAAACCATAAATCCAGAAAGGGAACACGGTAATAAATGATAAAAATAGAACAGAACATATCTGTGGAGAAGACATGGTAATAAATGACATAGAAAGAACAAAACATACATTCAGAAAAAGGAAACTGTGGTAAATGACACAGATAGAACAATACATAAATCTAAAAAGAGACCGGGTAATAAATGACATAGACAGAACAAAAACATAAATCCTGGGCGCAAACGTGGTAATAAATAGCATAAATGGAACACAATATAAATATAAGAAGAAGACAGGGTAATAAATGACATAGAACAAAACATACAACTAAGAAGACAGGGTATTATATGACATAGGGAGAACAAAACATAAATGCAGATTCAAGATTTGGTAATAAACGAAACACCGGTAGAACTTTTTTGAGTGATGCGCAACAGTACGATGTACCGGCACCATTTATGTCACTATTATTTCAGCGTCGCTGTTATAAACACTTTTTTCTGACTACCTGTTCTGTGTTTTAGATAGAATGTGGCGACTACCGGCACCTTTGTTAGATACAGTGTGGCGATATCATTCAGACACCACCCTTTAATGTGGGAACATTGACATACGGTAGAAATCACACATACAGTGCGGCTGGATACAGTGCGGTTGGATACAGTGCGGCTGGATACAGTGCGGCTGGATACAGTGCGACGATGGGTAGCACCGGCACCATTTCTTTTCTAGGAAACATAAATTCCTTGCATATGTTTGTTTGTTTGTTTTAGTATCCAGAAGCCATGAGTTGTTAACCCTTAGGCTCGGTATTATGGATATCGCAACCTTTCGGCGTTGAATGCATTGTAAATACCGTAATTCTGGGAGAAATGTGGCTTTCCTGCCTACCCCCGGGAGTGAACCCGGACCACAAGGAGTTCGTCACCCGGTCACCGCGCAATCCGGTTTAGCCAACTACGCTAGAGAGCCTGGCATTCCTCGCATATAGGAAATCAAACATTAGTGCAGGCAGATGATAAATGGCATTGGGAGAATCTGACATTAAGCAAGAGAAAAAAAAAAACGTGGTAATAAATCACGTAATCATAAACCGGAACCATGCCGTTGATAAATAAAATGGCGTTCAAGACCACGTGTTGCGAGTATTTGTGTAATGCGGGAATGCTTGCGGATAAAACTAATCCATGGATACCGTGTAACAATATAAATGCACACGAGAAGTAGAACTATTCATCATCATCACCATCAATTTCTATTTCTGCCGTTAAGCGTTGTGGGGAGAAACAGTTTGTTATTCCGTGTCGATGTAGAAGCTCTTTAATGTCATCAGTCCATGTCCTTATAGGGCGACCTCTTGCTTTTACTTCAGATCTTCTCACGTGTAGCGCCTGAGCTGGTAGTTGTTCTGGCTGCTTCTTACTATATGGCCAAACCATCTGATCTTCTGTTTCTCAATGAATCTGCTGCATGGTGTTGTACCTACAATGTGTCTGATATTATTTCTAATTGTGTCTTGAATGGTTAAATTGCCGGCTTTTCTCAGGCATCTCATTTCACAGGTTGTAATTTTACGTAGGTTAGCCTTTGATAATGTCTAAGTCTGGCACTGGTAGCTCATTGTTGGTATGAATATGCTGTTTATGATCTGTTTCTTGTCGCTCATAAGTTTTTTTGGATGTCCTAATTGTTTGTGTGTTTGTTTTTGTATCCAGAAGCCATGAGTTGTTAACCCTTAGGCTCGGTATTATGAATATCGTAACCTTTCGGCCTTGATTCCATTGTAAATACCGTAAATCTGGGAGAAATGTGGCTTTTTCTGCCTACCCCCGAGAGTGAACCTGGACCACAAGGAGTTCGTCACCCCGTCAATCCGGTCTGGCCAAATACGCTAGAGAGCCGGGTGGATGTCTTAATAACGGTCGATGTCGGTTGCTATATACGTGCGCTGGCTCCTTGGCATCTTGTTTCTATTTCCCGATCCACTCTCCCCTCCTCCGAGAATATACTATTTAGTTACACATTAACACAATTACAAACGACAAATGAACGTTTAGTGTTTATCAAAAAGAAAAAAGAAAAACCACCGGCAGTTGACACAATGATATTGTTGATTTGAATGACTCTTCAAAAAGTCGTTGTGATTGTAAAAAAGATATAACAGAGAGGTGTTCTGAATATGAATGGGGGAAAAAAATAATAACCTGAGAGAAATCGCGCTGCTCTCGTTCGTGGGAGAGCCGGGTTTAGATTCCGATCGTCATCAATTAGCAGGTGCTTTACAGATCGTCGCTCTCGTGACGGCACCCTGAAAGTCTCTCTTTCTTAAGCTAGTTATCCAGCCCTATGTGCTTTCACAGACAATGCGTCTTCAGTGTCTTGCATCAACCTTCTGCCTCGTTTTCTGGAAATTGTACACCCCCCCCCCCTTTCCCCTTTCCGCTCCTTCCCAACCCCCACCCACTCCTCCCAGCACCAACATTCTCTCCAGGCCGCCATGTTTTCGGGAAAGAATGCTGTTTATGAGCCAGTTCTCCTTGATTCAGGTTAGGTTGAAACCCTCTTCCCCCCCCCCTCCCCTTCCCCGCACCCCATTCGGAGCAACTCCTCACGGACAAAATCTGTGGCGACTGAACTAGCCACGGGGCCATAAGTTCTTAGGCTCAAGACCCCCCCCCCCCCCCTCCCCCACCACCTCTTCTCCCATTATTCGATTATATATAAAATAACAGGGGTTTTGAGATCTGGATGCTCGCAGACTCAATGAGCCCCCCGGGCACCCCCCCCCCCCCCCCCCCACACACACATACATTTTGTAAGGGGCTAAGTTCCATCCACCCCCTACCCCGAACAATTTATAAACATTATATATCTTTATATCACCCATCTTGTGCCAATTGGTCTCAAAATTTATGTTTAGCTCCTTGTGCCCTATACGCCTAAAGGCCTGGTAAAGGGTCCATAACTTTTTTTTTCATGTATCTTTATAACATAATTTGTCCAATACACAGTGTATTTGTAATGACTATGTTTTAGAAATATCACGGTTACTATTTTTGTAAACAACGCCACTGAAGTTAGTGCAACAGATACTGTTTTGGTGTGTCTTATTTTGGATACTGTTTTTTTACATTACTATTCTATCCACAATCGATTCTACTGGCTAAATAACAGTGTTAGGATGAGAGTTTTAAGTATCAGGAAATAATAGACATTAAAAATTGCTGAACAACCACATTCGAATACCAGCCACCGTTAAGGAACACAGACTCAACCAAAATAATACTCTTTTTCCAATAGTTAACACCATTATAGCTAAGAACAAATTACTAAAATACAGATATATAGCAGTGATTTTCTAAACTAACGGTTACATGGCGCTGGAAACCTGACGTCACACAAATATTTAATTACGTGCCCGAAAAAAAATTGATTTAAAAAAGTCTACATTCATTAATCATGCACCCTATATTTTATTATAATTACGATTAAACACACGAAAAATTTTTGTTTTGTTTGATATTTTCTGTCTCATTATATTTTCTCTAAATTTACACGTTATCTTACTTTCATTTCAGCCACTCAGATTTATGACGGATCCTAAAGTGACGTCACATCCGCCTCTTATATCATGTCAAGAAAGTGTGTGTTATCTTCAGACCAATGATAATTTAGCTCGTTCCACACTGGACACGCCCATTACTGCAGCCACGCCCTTTTCTATTCATCCAACAGTCATCAACGCATTTGGCGGGAATCTAGCCATGATTTCTGCTCATAGATTTCGTGACGTCACCGAGCACATACCGGCGTTAAAAAGAAGACGACATGAAAACTTGGGCATTTCAAATGAGATTAACAGACATTTTATGTTGTCTAATGTCGGTGTTGACGCATCTGAGGAAGTGTTTTTGAACCGTAACTACTGTTCTGAAACCTCTGGAAGGAAAAGTGGTTGCACAGACTTACACTACGGCAAGATGAGATCAAATCGATTAGAAAATTCAGAAGCAGTGAAACCGAACCATAATTTTCTACCAGTGAGACAATTAAAGAACTCCCTCTTGGGGTTGTCTGGGGAAAAGAACGATTCCACGGCACGATCATTGAGTTGTCCTATGTTTGAGGCTTCTATAGACCACAATAATGGCTCCAGTGAAGAGTGCAAGATTTCATATTCGAGATCTGAACCGGAAGTAAAACGATGTCGTTCACTTCCGTGTAGAATGACCCCTGATTATCTGAAACATGAGCTGCAAAGGTATTACCTGAACGCACCTATTGTAAGTCGACAAGACAATCCTCCGGTATTTTCGAGTGATGAAACTGCAGACGATACAAATGAGTTGCGCGGGTCACCGTACAAATCTGGTGTAGGTGGTCATGTGACATCAGAAAGAAATGGCGAGGAAAATTCTAGTTCTGGCTCTGATACGCCGGAATCCTGTTATATTGATGTGGAAGATGACACAGCACCAAGTTCGCCGTTAAATCTGTCCACAAATGACAACGAATGTCATGACAGCAAGAATGACATTATTGATGACATTTCTAACAGCTCGCCGATATCTCAAAAGAAAATTACTGCAATTTTTCCCAAAAGTGACGAAACTGTATTCCATACTGAACCGTGCAAGAATAAAACAGATTCACCTATTGGCCATATCTCAGCCAATGAAATTTCACAAGAAAAGAAAACGAACTTTTCAATAGACGCCATTTTGAGACCCGATTTTGGAGTCATTCGTTCCGCCGTCCAGACAGAAGACCATCCCCACCACCTGAACCTCCAAGCCGCCAGCCCTCACAACAACCCCCGCACAAAATCTTCAGCATTCACACCAGTCGACCTCAGCACGAGATCAAGATCCGACTCGTTGTCTTCGCCGTCTTGTTCATCCTCTTCTCCGTCGCCACCATTATCAACATCATCGCCGTCTCCTCTACTGAAGTCGGAATCAAAACACTCCGGTTTATACAGCAAACATTATATCGGACAAGAAAATATACTTCTGGCTTCGAAATTATTTCCCGAACCAACCAAACATTTTCATAACTTCCTTAACGCTCATATTCCCTTCATCAATCCGCTTCACGCAAATGGAGTAAAAACTTTCCCCTTTATATATTCATCCCAAAATGGGCTTTCTTCCAGACTGCCTTCGATTCATAATTCCACCCCTACAGAATATAGAACAAAACCAGAACATGAAAAACCCACCTCAAAATTTCTAAGTAGATCATTTTATCCATTCGCCGGCGAGTCAAATACAATGTTAAAAATGTCCGCACAGCAAGAAGGCCACATTAAAACAGACAGTGGCCAGGCTTTTCACGTTTTGGGCCAAAACAAGCATAGACAAAATTCAATAAACTCATTGCCACCATCAAAAACTGAGAAAAACCAAAATACAAATTCTCAGTCCAAACTGGCAATGGGAGTAAAGTCGAGTAAAATGACGTCGGCAAATTGCAAAGTCGAATTAAAACAAGAGAAGGCGGGCCATGGCGACGACAAAGCAGGAGATTCTGCGGGAAATTCATCCAATGATAATGCACTGTGGCCTGCCTGGGTGTTCTGCACCCGGTATTCAGACAGGCCTTCTTCGGGTATGTATTTATAATGGCTAAACTTGAGTTCATCTTTATCATCTGTATCGCTATTGCTATCACCACCACCACCACCACATCATCTGCACCACTACCACAACTACCATCACAACCACAATAATTATCACCATCAGAAACATCACCACAACCACCACCACCACCACATCGCCACACCTACCATCACCACCATCACTACCACAACTACTGCTGCTACTGCTGTTGCTGTTGCTACTACAACTACTTCTATTATTTCATCGTCATCATAATCATCTATTTCCTCGTTTTTTTTTCTATTTATTATTATTATTATTATTATTATTATTATTATTATTATTATTATCATCATCATCATCAAGTATTAGCTCTTACAAGCGTAGTTGGCAACTTGTACTATGGTACACAACTAGGCTGCAATATCAGAACCTGATTTCCGCACACTCCTAACTAATCACCTTTTACGGCATGTTTGTAAGAGGTAATGGGTCTAACCTGCCACCCCTCCTTCAATGAAATCCTGGAACCCGCACAAATAGCTATCACCGGCTACAACTAGAGGATGTGGCTTACTGTTATCATAAGTCAGCAGCGTCCATTATTTGCAGTCACAACAAAAGCACACATTTTACCACCAACAGCAACACATCTGGTAAATTATCAACCTATCATATACCACCCCATACCACTACTGCCACCATTATTAACGTCATCACTACTACCACAACTGGTAGAACCACATTGAAAACACTATCAGCGTCATCACCACTACCACAACTGTTAGAACCACCTTGAAAACAACTATCAGCGTCATAACCACTACCACGACTGGTAGAACCACCTTGAAAACACTATCAGCTTTATCAACACTATCACATTCTTAGAAAACACCATCTCTACAAGACCATCCACTACCACCACCAACACAACCAACAATACTTAATTACAAAACTACCACCCGCCTCACCACATCCAACCACACCAGCATCACTGCCACAATGACCACTGTTATTAAACATATAACCCCCGAGAAGCCGCAAAACCAACACTTCAGGATGGGTCCATTTCCCCGTAAATGACACTTTTCCGACTTTTCAACAGTGATAAGTCTACGACGACCTTGAGTTAACAATATTGAATGAGTTTGCGGTTGCGTAAACGTCAAGGAGATCAGCATATATATATATATATATATATATATATATTATATATATATATATATATATATATATATATATATATATATATATATAATCAGGTGCCTTGCCGACTGGCGTGGTCGATCATGCCTCTCCACAATCTGCGATCTCCTGCAGCATGTATCCGTTCGTGTGCCGACACACCTCCATGCCATGGAACAAGGCTGTCAAGAATCTTCCCTCGGTGTCTTCCTCTATCCATTCTTCCCCAGATCTTTCCCGTGGTCACAACATGTTTTATTTTCCCTCTTCTCATAACATGGTTGAAACAATGATGACTGTCTCCTTCACATGTCTGTGATAAGTTGTCTTCAGGCTCCCGTCTTTTTCAAAACTTCTTAGTTGCTCTTTTTGGCTGTCCAAGAGCAAAAGCATATATATATAAAGCTTAAAATAGTATTTGCGGGTATTTTTATGTTATGCAAACAGCTATTATAAAACCAAGTTGATGCCAATTTTTCCATGTGAGCCTCATTGATTGAGGTCTCGGGGTCACGGCGGGAGTCACCCGTTACATGTTGTTTTTCGAGGCACCTAGAATTGTATTCGAAGCCAGGGTACATCTGCCTTAAGAGTTTGCATTCAAATGAGACAGATCTGTAAAACGGATGTGCAGGCAACACTCAGTTTCTGGAGCAGAACTAGTCAAGAAGTGGACGAACAACCAGAACCTTCCATTTGAGGTTACAGCTGGTGAACAAAAAAGAAGAAGAAGCAGCAGAAAAAGGAAGAGATGGGATAGTTAAAAGAAAGAAGCTTAAAAAAATGGCCAAGTTAAATTTAGCATGAGGATTTCCGTATCAGTTCCCCGTAGTAACAGGACATAAGGAATGTACACAAAACGATTATCTGCCCCTGTCTGACCTCGGATATGGTGTGCGTTTTATTCAAGAGGCCGAAAAAAAAGTGATAACACTCTAGACAGATAACTTCTTTCCTAAACACACGTACATCTTCATTATCTTATTCTTCTTCCTTTCGCCTTCCTTCTTTCTTCCTTCTTTCCTTCCTTCTTCCTTTGTTCTTCCTTCCTCCCTTTCTTCTTACTCGGTCTTTCTGCTCCTCCTCCTCTACCTTCTTCCTTCTTCATTCTTCCTTCTTTCTTCCTTCTTCCTTCTTCCTTCTTCTGTCTTCTTTCTTCCTTTTTCCTTCTTCTTTTTCTTCTTTTTCTTCTTCTTCTTCTTCTTCTTCTTCTTCTTCTTCTTCTTCTTCTTCTTCTTCTTCTTCATCTTCTTCTTCTTCTTCTTCTTCTTCTTCTTCTTCTTCTTCTTCTTCTTCTTCTTCTTCTTCTTTTTTCTTCTTCTTCTTTTCTTCTTCTTCTTCTTCTTCTTCTTCTTCTTCTTCTTCTTCTTCTTCTTCTTCTTCTTCTTCTTCTTCTTCTTCTTCTACTTCTTCTTCTTCTTCTTCTTCTTCTTCTTCTTCTTCTTCTTCTTCTTCTTCTTCTTCTTCTTCTTCTTCTTCTTCTTCTTCTTCTTCTTCTTCTTCTTCGTTCTTAAAAGGGCCGTTGGTACGTTATATTGTGAACTGAGCGAGGGAGTGACCCACCAGGACCGCACAACGAGGGATAAACACGTGGTGACACAAAGTGCCAACATTCGGATAAGAATCGCAAAGACGCAAATCTCAGAAGCCCCATAGGTTATATTTGGGTATTCTGCGTCTACGGGGTGGGGCTTTAAAATCACCCAAAAATTGTTTGAAGTTGTGAATTACAACAAGGTTGCGATATGGACACTCGACCCAACGAATCCCGTTTCAGCAAACCCTTAATTGTTCGCCTTTTGTGACATGCTTGCTAGAGGGGCAGTGGCTATAATTCTTTTCTCTCTCCTCCCCCCCCCCCCCCCCCCGGAACCGAATCAGTGTGTTGCAAATAAAACATGGACGGTAAACCAAATGACATTTTTATGGCTATAATGAAAGTCGTCCCCTTGTGGGCGGACATTTTTTTTTCCTTGAAGCCCCACCCTGGCTTCTTCCGGGAACACTGAATATAGCCGGGGCACAGATATGGCCTAACGGCTGAAAGGGGTTTCTGGGACATCTTCGCGGGTGATCCTTAGCCGCATGATGACACTTTGTGTCACCGGGTGTTTATCCCTTGTGTGATGTCTTAGTCGGGTACAACTACCTACCTACCAAATGACATTTGAACATTTCTGTAAGTCCGATAATCTACGTGTCCAGGGGCAAAAATCAGAATTAGATTACTGGTTGTCTCCCTTCAATATTGCCCGTACGGTACAAGCGTATGGTGGCTTCAGGGGTTATTGTAGATATGTGCTTGAATAAGGAAGGCCGACCACAAGAGGCCCAAAGATAAGTGCATTCCCGGGATTGAGGGGCCATTTTAACGGTCGTGTGTCGAGGATGTTGAGATTGGTGCAGACAGACAGACTGACAGACTGACTGACTGACTGCCTCACTGACTGACTGACTGACGTTTAATCCCACCAGGACCGCACAAGGGAGATTGACACAAAGTGCCAGCATTTGAATGAGAATCCCTGGGCAAAAGACCCAGAAACGTCGTTTAACCGTTAGGTTATATTATTGCACCCGGCCACAGCGGGGGTAGAGCTTTAGAAAAATATGTAAGAATATTGCGTTTTATGTTGGGTCGGAGTTAATTCAGTAAATGAAATTGCTACTGTGCCTTTTGGGGTTATAGTGCCAATCAGGAACGCATAGACCTTTTGTTATTTACTTCTTCTGCTTAGCGTGCACAGTCTGTTAAATCCCGCGGAATGGTTGTTCGCACATTACTGGACTTTGATCTTGTTCCAGAACTTGAGTAAGAGGGAGTAGCTCCCCCCTAATAATAATATTAATTATAATATAATAATAATAATAATAATAAATATAATAATTTACTTGGAACTTAGGAGTGTGGATTTGTGCTTCCCTTCTCCCCTCTAATATTATTATTATTATTTTTATTATTACTACTTCTACCGCCACCGCCACCACCACCGCCACTACTACTACTACTACTACTACTACTACTACTACTACTACTACTACTACTACTACTACTTTTACTACTACTACTACTACTACTACTACTACTACTACTACTACTTCTACTACTACTACTACTACTACTACTACTACTACTACTACTACTACTACTACTACTACTACTACTACTACTACTACTGCATCTACTACTGCTTCTACCAATACTACTGCTACTACTATTACTATATTATTATTATATGGTATTGTTGTTAATTATTATTATTATTACCATCATCATCATAAACACTGTATTATTATTTTTAAACAATTAAGCAAGTCTTATTAAGCCCTTCCCCGACCCAGACAATTATGTTGGGGAGAGGGTGGAGGTGGGTCGGGGAGAGGGAGAGGTTATGTCTACCCCCCAAAAACCTCAAATGTTTTCTCTGTGGCGTCGCGCCTAAGCTCCATAATAATGGATGTTTTGCAAGAACTTCTGCAGTGTCTGCAAATCTTGGACAGCTTTAATAGTGACAATACATTTACAACAAGCTCCATTAAAGTCACGTGCTCTCTTGTCACGTGATATCCTCCGCCATTGAACTTGGCGATTCTGGAACCTCCTCAACTCTGTCTATAAAGACACCTTCTGATTCATGTCTGCCATTTCCGGTCATCTAAAGGTCAAGTTTTAATTGGTTAACACCATGATCTCTGTCACAGTCAGTGCGTGTAATCGGTTACAATTAATCTTTGACCGTCTGACAGTGAATCCGCCATATTGGACAAAAGGTCAAGGCAGTGTGATGACCTTCGCTCTTAAGCCTGACTCCAATAAACACACAGACGGGTAATTATGAGCTCCCGCTGAGTTTAGGGCTCTTTCTATTTGGACCCAAATAAGAAGCGTGTAATTGACATTACCAGGGTGTTCTGGTTACTGCTGACGTCATTTCCTCTTTGAGTGTGAGTGTGCCAATGCGCATGCGAATGTATGTTTGATGTTGCGGAAATATGTTGCTCCCGTGGCATTCTGACAGTGGGACGAGAGTTGCACCGTGGAAGAAAGCGCTGATTCAACCAGTATTGTTCTCAAAGACATAAATGGATATCTATGTATTATCTACAGCACCATTTCTGAAACTTTTTTCGCCAGGGCACCTTAGTGGGGCACATTTTGTTTTGCGGCACACCTACCCTTAGTGCGTTTTTATACTTAGGAAAAGAAGAAGGAAAACAGTAGTGCACATTTAATGTTCAGTTGTCTTTAATATGATGAATGCAACTGTTTGAATGAATTTTTCATTATTTTCTTTATTCTTCTTCTTCTTTCGTTCGCATGAAATAAATTATCTATATCTGCAATGCTGTCTCTAGTGTGAATTTTACTGTCTTTTGTAATTCACTAAGCGGCCCGTAAAGTTTGACTTCCATAAGTGTCTTTTTTGGCCAGAAGATTTGCCTGGAGGCTTTAAATCTGGGACAGTCTTGGAGGATGTGATCTGTTGTATCAGGTGCCAGTCCACAGGTACACAGGCTGATTGGCCAATCTTAAATTTGTTGTACATGTGTATTTTCTTTATGTTTATGGCAAGTCTAGTCAATTGTACCCTCAAATCACTTTAAAGTTGCTTCTGTATCTGTTTTTTTTTTAATTTTTTTTTTATGAAAGTGTATGTTGAGAATGCCCTGCAGTCTTGCCAGCAGCATTGTTTTCTGACCACACCTGCATCCAGAACTCTCCTTGGCTTCCTTTACGTTGTTTCTGTTTTTAACTGCTGTCTTCGCTAATTTCAAGCAGATTTTTAAAAACAAATTACTTATTATTGCCGCGGTACCTCTGGAATAAGTTGGCGGCCCCCAGTTTGAGAACCCCTGCTTTACAGCACAGCGAAGTTTACTCATGGACTACGGCGCTGACAATGAGCATGGTCGAGGGCCAGAAGCGGAAGATCGAGTGCCAGCACAGGAAGACCACTATTACAATACAAATGGTAGTGATTCGCCGGCCACTTTTTAGGCCGCTACGGGCCAGATATAGTCCGCAGGCCGCCAGTTAAGTAGCGCTACTCTACTGCCAACCTTTCTAATCCCCATCACCATTATCTTCATCATCGTGTGCCGTTAAGTGGCCCGGGGGTGGGGGGGGGGGGAAATTATGCGATCAATCGCTTGAGCAACGACAAATGTGTGTGATGTCATCTTCTCCTAGGGCAGGGATGGGGTCTCCAACATAGGGAGGGGAGAGGGGTCAGGGAGAGGGAGCGGCGAGGAAATGTCAAGGGAAAAAAAGTGGGAAAGCGGGAGGCAACTTTGCGTCAAGTAACTGTAAAATTAGGTGCTTGCAATAATTTCCCCTAATCATTAGGAATTAATGCCTGTTAGATATGGGACTCAAAGGGCCTAACAATTGTTTAAATTGTGTAATAAAAATATTTTTAATAAAAATAACAAATTTTACCAGACTATGTTATGGAAGACACTTGTAATATATTAACATATAAAAATGAATAGTCAGATACTTTAAAAAAAAAAATCTGGTTCAAAGCAAGCCTCTGCCCTGCCTCTACTTCTTCTCAACTTGGCCATAAACACAATTATAAGGAAAGTGATAGAACATTGCACTAAAAGAGAAATTACAAGAATACTGAGCTGTGCAGAAACATAGATATGGCTGAAGAAAATTACCTTAATTGAGTAAAGCATAATGTTCAACTTGATATAGTTAAGAAAACAAAACAGCATTGTTAGCCTGATACGGCCAACGATCACTGTTGGGTCTTCTTTTCTTCTTTGTGTTTACCGGCTGTAAACTCTGGCGGAAAGTTCTGGTTGTTCGTCCACTTCTGGGACTGCAGTCCTGTTCCTGAACCTGAGCATTGCATGTGCATCCGTTTGACAGATCCTAATTTATATGCAGACTGTTAGTTCTCAGCCTTTCAGGCAGATGCACTCCGGCTTCGAAGGGAGCTCCCAATTTTTTTTTCTCAAAGATATGTCTTTATTTTAACAAGTGTTATAATATCAATGAAAAAAAAAAAAAAAAACGTGTTTTAAAGTTAACCAATGCTCTTAAATTTATAGTATCAGCATTTGAGACATCATAAAGATAGCCTCCAAGTTGTTACTCAATTATCAAATATGAAAATGTTACCAAATAATTACTTTGTCTTCCCTATCCAAATTTCACTGACCATTATAATTGTATTCTTTTTATTTCAAAGCAATTGATACATTAGGTATATAATAATGAGTCAAATAGAGCCAATATATATTAAATGTTATAATAAATGACAAGGAAATAACAGAGACTGATATTTCATGAAGTAAATCAGTAATTTGAGAGTATGGAGAAAGGGCAAAAGTAATTGTTCACGTACAAGCACCATTGAAATCTATCACAGATGTAGACGTAATTTCAAGTTTGTGGTCAAATTTTTTTTTTATAAGGAACAGACTGCAATTTAATCTTTTTATTTAATCTCAGACTAACAGAACAAAGAGCAAGACAATTAGTGCAAGTTTAAACACGCAAGAGGTAAAATGATGGCCATACTCTAATAAGAGCTTCCAGAATTGACAAAGTAGAGAGAACTAGTTTTAGGATAAACTCCACACAGATGGGTGACATGGTAACACAATGATCAGATGTTTCAGACGTTTGCCTGATACCTCGAAGGTTTTTGCAGATTTTTTTTTTTTTTAAACTGCAACTGAGTTGGTATCAAGACATGAATTCTCTAAATGAGAATTATAGTTGTTCGCGTGGCTTCTTCATTTGGAGGCTGATGTTGAAAATTCTTCTTTTTGATATTTTTCCATTGATTAAACCTCTGGTTGAAACGTTCTGCACATATATTTTCTTTTCATCCTCGCTGAGCTTTTGAAAAAAAAAAAAAAAGATGGCATACTGTGAGATGAAAGCAAAAGTGACTCAAAAAATATCTGATCAATTCAGAAGACAAATATTTTTCAGTTCAGACAAATTTAAGAACATGATGATAGTGCTTACAATTTCTGGAGAAAAAAAAATGTATGTTGCTACATGATGGTATACAGCAGGGCCTTGATGCTACACAGATGTGGTTTCTTGCTTTACTTCTCATAGTTTGCTTTCTCGCCCGATGTACCACCTCGGCCAAAGCCTGCAGGTCCCTACAGATTAACATAACAGGGCTTGGTGCAATAAGGTGTCCCTTCGTGCTCAGAATGGCTTCCAGGTGTTAATGTCTTGCCACATTTGCCACACTTCAAACAGCCAGGGTGCCAGTCCTTGCCTATTGATGTTTTCCTTTCGGCAAAATATACCTCTTTCTGACATTTTGGACACTCGGGCATTTTGAAATTATTTAAGAACTGTAGCCAGTAACGGACCTTGATTCAAACGTATATGGCTGAAGGGAGCTCTCAATTAGTCGACCCTTACGACATGCTTTCGGGGAGGCAGTGGTCTATTGACTGACTGACTTTCTACTCCACCAGGACATCACACAAGCGATAAACACCCGATGACACAAAGTGCCACCATGCGGATGAGGATCGCCGTGGAGAGGTCCCAGAAACCGCGTTCAGGCATTTCGCCATATGTATAGCCTGCCTATATTGCGGCCCCCGGCAAAAGCCAGGGTGGAGCTAAAAAAAAAAATTTCATCCTGAAAAGAATAGTAGAGTAAGTAATCTATTATTGTTTTCCCTATAATAGTACCCCGAAACGGACACGGGCAGTTAAGGCTTGTCAAAATGAAACCAAAATAAATACCAGATATCATCAAAACAAAACAGTTTCAACCAACCCATTTATTTTGGACTCTAAAATACAAGTTTTTGTTTCATGTCTCTTATGTTATTCGAAACTTTGATTTTGAATACATTGTTCACGTGTTTTCTTAAAGTATGTCTTATCCAACACCACCGTCTCTTCTTTCCCTTTTAGTTCATTGGAATTTGTTCAGTCCCCTCACTAAGCTCAACATCAGTGATTCTATCTTACCATTTAATCCCCTCTAGCCTTGTTTGTTTCCTGTTTTTATGTATTTATCTCTTCCCGTCCTGTCTTTGTCTACATCGCAGCCTAGCTTCTTGCAGCGGTGTATCACAAAGAGAGATTATGTGAATGTTTTCCCGGTTTACTCTCCATTATTCGTAGTTTCTCCGCTGCGAACGTTGATCCCTAACTGTTGTGGTCTCGTGCTGAGCAGCAGACAATATTTAAACTGCTTTATCTGTAGATTCAGACAAACTGCGGCGGCATCGAAAATGGGCGGGCGCGGAGGGGCGGGGGTGGGGGGGAGCGGTGACGGGACTCACTTAATAACTGATTAGGGGGGGGGGGGGGCTCAGTGGCGAGTCTTGTTAAAAAAAGAAACAATAATATCAATTCACCGTGTGGGTTCCAGGGCCCTGTTATAGGGAAAACACGAATAGACCCATTGCCTACCTATTAGCATGTCGTAAGAGCCGACTCAATCGGAGGTTCCTTCAACGTCGAAGTGCCTCTGCCTGAGAGGCGAGGAACCAACAATCTGCATACAAATTAGTCAGATCTGTCAATCGGATGCACACGCAACACTCAGGTTCTGTAACAGGAATGCAGTCCAGAGGTGGAGGAACAACCAGAACTTAACACCAGAAGCTCCTAATCTCGACTCTTACGACATTCTTTTGTGTAGGCAGTGGGTCTATTCTTGTTCCCCCCCCCCCCACCCCCCACAATAGGACCCCAGAACCCACACGGGGAAGTATCAAAACTGATTGAGACGCCCCTTAAAATGTTCCTCCAGCCTCCTACGAGAGCAGCCCCAAGTTGAAAACCACTGGTTTACATGGTCTGCGACAGGGTTAGCCAGGTAAAGGCCTGGTTGAGTCGGCGCAAGCGGGACTTCTGCACTGTCCCAACCTCCCCAACCATGAATGTATTATGAATACTGCGCGGCGCCATTTTTTGTGACGCATTTCATTTCCGATTTTCCGATTAAGAAAAAATACTTTTTATCAACATCTTTCCTATGTGGGCTCTAGGCCCCACTGTGGGGCTGGGGAGGGGGAGGGGGGGGGGACAGACGGACAGCCCTCCATCCTTATCTCCTCGCCAAGAAGCATGTCGTATAAGTCGACTGATTATAGTGTTTCCTTGAGTTGAGTTGAGTCAAGAATTGACATCACAGCACTCGGAGCATTTCCGTGCATGCTCCGTCCTTATCTTCAGCAGCCAGCGCAGAGTTCCAATACTGATGGTACCGGTGTAGTGTTTCCTTTAAAATAGGAGTGTAACTGTCGGAGAGGTGAGCAACTATCGAGTCTGCATATCAGTAAGTGGCAGTAACACGTGCACAATAATGATAACAACCCACAGACACACAAACAGGGATCGTTATATTCAACAATTATTGCAAAAGTCGAGCTAGAAATAACGAAACAATCTATTAGAAATCAGTATTATTATCAACATATGTTGAATAAAATTAACGACGGCACGCGCCGACATGCAAAACACTTGGGTTCAACCGTCGCCAGTTCTAAAGTTGACCTAATCCGATGATCACAGAGCAAAAGTCAAAATTTGACAGGATTATCCTCATATCAGTTAAATTGACTTTTGATCTCTGTCTGTATGCGATGAATTGGCTTTAGGCTTCGTTTCGTTGTCCAATGCACATTTTAATGAAACTGAATTGAAATGAGCTGGTTATGCTAATACCGCGTTCATCGTTTTATTAAACTGATTAACAAAACTTATCAATTTAAGTGATTAAATTAAAGCTCGCACGCCCTTTCAACAATGGATTAAATTTTATAAGGCTGAAAAAAAAAATAGGCAATTCTAAATTATATAGTTGTATAAAAGCAAGTTCGTCATCATCATGTAGCAGGGCCTTCGCAGAACGTCGCTCTCATCACGGTCTGCCTGAGAGAAACTCGGTCTCTCGCCAGCTCTCCCGCCTCATGCACTTTTATTTCCAAGGAGTCACGTATATCCTGTGCCCATCTTTGTGTTTGGTCATCCCCTGCCCCTTCCTTCCTGGTACCATGCCTTCTATTATTTTTGGTCTGATCCGCCATGGCGCTTGAAATGACCAAAATATTTCAGCTTCCGCGACAGGATGCTGTTTATTAGCCGATCTTCCTTGATGTTCAGATCTTTTAACATTTTAGTTTCTTTCCTGTTTCTATATTTGATAGGTATTAGCGTGGACGAACCCCTCCCCACCCATGCATCTCTTCCCTGTGTCGGGATTCTTGGTGAGGAATATTCCCCCTTGTTGCTGTGGTTTTTTTTGAAAAAGGCTCCGACGGTAACGTCCAATAATTCTTGTGTATGTACGTGGTCTCTCAACCCCCCCCCCCCCCCTCCCCCTCGTCTCCCCCTCGTTTTTTCTGATCGATCTTCCTTAACTTTCTTAGTCGCCGTTCACTGGATGCGAACGCTTCGTAATGCCGGGATACCGGGTTCGATCCCAGCTGTGGGCCATCGCCTTACGTTGGTTTCGACAGTGGTATCAAGAAAGCCGACCGTCCAGGGAGCAATGGCAAACTACTGGACGTAAATATGCCTAGAAAAACCACACAACAGCCAGGCGCTTTTGGGGTTGGTTCTGCAACGTCCTGTAAAGGATACGCAACTAATTAAAAATATTTCTAACACCACCTTACCGCCGTTTGGTTGAATAATGTCCCTTGAGCCGAAGCCCAGTGCAAGCGTAGTATGCCTCCTCCCCCCCCCCCCCCGCCATCTTTTTTTTTAAGTATCCAGAAACCATGAGTTGTAAACGCTTTGGTTCGGTATTATGGATATCGCAACCCTTCGGCCTTGATTTCATAATAAATACCGTAAATCTGGAAGAAAATGTGGCCTTTCTGCCTACCCCCGGGAGTGAACCAGGACCACAGGGAGTTCGTTACCCGGTCGCTGCGTAGAGTGTTTTAACCAACTGCGCTAGCGAGCAGGGCATAATTTTTTCCTTAGAAGAGTCCAACACTTAAGTCTTTAACGTGTTGAGGTTATGTAACATACGACACACTGAGGGGAAACTACCTCGACATGTCCCCCCCCCCCTTAATTCGTGACGTCTCTAATATTCAAGAACAAACATGTAACCGTCGACACTAAGATAAGGCTAAATACAGCATAAATGGGACTAGAAAGCTCAACGGCGGAACTACAAGAGGCGCTCACAAATACATCTGACTGTTTCTACCAACGTCTTTATCAACAGAGTACTTAATGCAACACAAACTGTGACTGAAAAAAAAAAATCAACGGATAGGGCAACATGGCTTCTAAACAATTAGGGTTAACACGGCTCAGTAACGAGAACAGAATTAACTGAATGCCCCCTGACAAGCATGTCGTAAAAGAACCCACTGCCTCTTAACAAGCTTATTGCAAAAGCGAGTATTTTGATGTTTGCTCAAGAAGATGGCAGGACAGAATGAAAATAAAAAGTTAAAATTTAAAGTTCGTTTTCTTCGCGTCCCTTTTAATCGATTCAGGTCTCGGGGGTGGCGGTGGATATTAGGTTATATTTCTTGCTCTCCTGGCCACCTGGACCATGGAGACGTCGTGCTGTTGTACAGTTTCTCTGATTTTATCTTTTTATTCTATTGTTGGTCTACCTTGTGGTCTGTATCTTTTGTGAACACCTTGTATGGTATGGCGTCACAAGGCATTGTTTAAGTGTTCCATATAATAGAAGGAAGAAAGAAGCCAAGAATGACTGAAGGAAAGGGGAAAAGAAAGTAAAAAGTAGTGAAAAAAGAATGAAATAAGTAACGAAAGAGATAACGAACGAAAGAAAGAAACACAAAAAGAAAGAAACACAAAAAAAGAAAGAAACACAATAAGAAAGTAGTCGATAATAAGGCTATCAACGAAGCTAACACAAAAGACTATCATTGTCTAACCATGCCATCTCTTGTGTCTCCCAACAGCTGTCGCTAAAACGCTAAAATACAGGATAATTCAACTTCTTTCCTCCATTTCAGACATTTTTTTTTAAATAACCACGTGTCTAAAACTTCTCTGCCGCTGTTTTGAAAGAGGAAAAAAAAAAAAACCATATAATATCAAATCATAAAAATGGCTGACACACGGCATTCAAAAGTCCGGGATCCAGATCGCGTTGCCTATTAGGAATAAATGAGGCTCCCTTTTCTGCTTAGCGATTGTTGCTCCTTTAAAAATGTCCGCATCTATTTCTGAGGTAGCTAATAATTATACTAATCTTTGTCGCCCTAGCCTTGTCACGGCAAGATGTATCGCTACTTTTGAGACCTTCACCTTTCATTTTCCGGAAATGTGTCATGATGACTTCCTGTCACAGCCGCGGGTAATGTTTTTT